TCGATAAATCCCTTACACCTCCCCTGGGTTTTATGAAAAGGCCTTAAACCAATGAATCCCTTAAACGTTAAACCTACCTATTTTTTTCTCTTAAAATGAACAAACTTATTGATTCAAGTAAGGCATTTGATTTTCCAACGCATATTGCCCTTCATTAGTTCGGTTTTTCAATGCGAGGCATCTCTCCACTATTTCTCGAGTTCAGATCTGTGCCCTACAATGTCCCACAGTACATCTTCACTGTGTATCGGGAACATTTTCCGATGATGACATCATTGGTTCTGGTATTATCATTGAGAGATGTTTCCAATACACGACGGGATATGCTATGGGACGTTGTGGGGCACCCCCTTGTGGAGTGCAGATTTGAACTCCCATTTCACAGCACTGAAAGAATCAAGAGGGAAAATGACGTTCCTGAATCCTGGTTGGTTCATATTTTTGGGTAAAAATATAAAGCCCTCTCCTAAAGTTTCTGACATTAAAAACCTCCCCTGAGGTTTCACAAAAACCTGCGGTTATCTCGCTTCCATCTTTGTTCCAGCAATGAAGACTTCAGAGTTACCAAATTACCCTTACAATTTATTAGGACATCTTTCAATATAATTCGAAAATGCTAGATTTGCCCTTCTAATCTTCGATAGACCTAATGTTTTTGTAGAGTAAAATTACTTTATTCTTTTCAATCTAGTTAGGGGATTTTCTTTTTAATTAAAAGTGAAAATTTCTTTCGGAGTATTTTAGTAAATTTCCATATAAATTGATAAATTTAAGGGTAAAGTTGGTATATGATTTTGAAAAACTAATGCACTAGGCCAACGTTTTCCATACAGGACAATAAGAAAAGGGAGCTAACAGCAGGTTTTTTCAATGCTAACTTCAGTGGAGGTTTTCATTATTTCATATTTTACCTTTCATATGGTTTGGTAACAAAATAGATGAACTTTTGAATTGGGTTCGTTGAGGAAGCCAGAGCTCTCTTAGGAGTTCTGTCTCCAGGAATATATAGAATTAAAGGTACTGCTTATTGACAATATTTTTAATTCTTCTTCTTAGATGATGTAGTTGTTACTGATCAACATAGACCTGACCAAGCAAATTTTCCCTTCTATTTTGTAAAGCTTAAGCCCCATTACTTCCTTTTCTTTGGAATGCCAATATGCATAAATCTTTTCTTTTCTTTTTTTTTTAAAATCTTCAGTAGATAATAGGAGGAAGTGATTTTTGGGAGCTTGGAAAATTACTTTGATGAGCTTAGGAAATTACATATTTAATTAGTGTTTATTTAATACCTAATTAATATAAAAATATTAAAAATTATAATTTGCAATTCCATTTATAATTAAATGATAAAATTACTAGCACCATTATAATTAATAAAAATTATTAGTTATAAAATTATAATTATCATTAGGATTAAAATATTATGATAACTACTATTATAAATAACAAAATACTTAGTTCACAAATTAATCATTAATACAAACTTTAAAATTAATAATAATTATGTTAATATTAGGACTTTATAAAATTATAGTATTATAATAATTATTGTTAATAAATAACTAATTAATTAGTAATATTATCATATTTCAAATAAATGTTTTATTAATCTAAATAACTAACTTAATTTTAACATTTAAAATAAATTTATAATTAATAGCATCACATGTATTCATAAAAATTGTTATTTATTAATTAGTAATTAATATTAGGACTTGCTTACTACAATTATTAATGCACCAAGTTTTTGAAAACTGCATTAAAAGATATTTTTTTCTGCTACAACATTACAAGAAATTTAAGTGAATTAATAAATGCTAATAATTAATTAATTATAATGCATAAATAACTAATTAATTATTAGTATCGTAGTAATTACTGTAAGAGCATAAACATGCTTATTGGCACATACATAGTTTAATGGGTCATTTATTAGAACATCCCCTATAGTTTCACAGATTTACTTAAACCTACCCTATAATTTACATTTTACTTAAACACCCCTTATTGTTTACAATCTATTTACTTGATCCAACTTTCATTAAGAAATATTTGTTTTGCAATCTGAAGATAGTAATATGATCACCTAAACTAAGTGAAAAATGTTCAAGGTCATGGATCCATGGTTGTTTATTCTAAAATTATCCCTAAACTAAGTGGAAAATGTTCAAGGATATGGATCCATGGTTGTTTATTCCAAAAGATCCCCTAACATTTTTTTGTATAGAAAAAAATTGACGAAATAGAAAAAAAATAGAGTGGTTGTCCATGTTTTACTAAGGGCAAAAGTGACATTTTTGTTTTTAGTTTCTTCATTAAACTTATTTGAATGGATGCTAGGGTTAAAACTGCCATCTTCCACTTTCATTTAATGGAAGGTTGATTAAGTAAATAGATTGCAAACTAAAGGAGATGTTTTAGTAAAACACAAATTATATAGTAGGTTTTAGTAAATGACCCTAGTTTAATCCATCCTAATTCGAAATCGAGTTAGCCCAGTCCAATGACTAACTCAAATTACCAAAGCAATACTTCCGAACAGATTATAGAAGTGGGTTAAGAATAAACTAGTGACGCATGGATGATGTGTCATAGAAGGTTCTAGAAACCTTTCCACTTAAGATAGTAATTATTTTAGGATTAATTAATAACTAAACTCAAATTAAAGTAAAATAGTAGGGCTGTAAATGGATGGACTGAACTGAAGCTGATATAGGTAGATCCAAATTTGATTCATTTATATTTTAATAAATTCAAGTCAAATTTGGATTGCAATCGGATATTGAATATTTATAAATAAATTTAACTAAAAATTATCAAAATATTATATATTATTAACGAAATGAAATAAAATTGACTTTGATATTGTAATTCATGAGCAAAATAAATTGAAAATTACTTGAATGATACTTGATACATGAACTTATTTAGTAAAAATATAACACTAATCCAATATAGATCACCCTTAATGGGACTGAATTTGAATTAAGACAATAAAAACCATTTGTAACCCTAAAAGTAAGTAATGTTACATAACTTTAAATTAATAAAAAGTAAAATTACTTACATTAATTTCAAAATTAAGTAATGTTAGATTAGTTCAATTTCAAAAATAATTATGTGAAAGTAAAAAGTGAAAAAATACAAAAATAATAATTTTAAGTTTACTAATTTTGAAATTAAATGATAAAACTTTAAAAGTCAATTAATGGGAATAAAAAATATAATTAATTGATCAAAATGAAGGTATAAATAATTAAATGGTGTTGTAATACAATAGTTGTATTAATTTCTAATTTTAAAACTAATAAGATTTTAAGTTTTTGAAATAACAAAATTGAAATATTTATTGATTTAAGTTCCATTTAAAAATAATTACATTAAAGAATTTAAAATATAATTTTAATTAAATTTAAATTAACTATTAATAAAATAATTATATTAAAAACCCCATTTAATAATATCATAATATTAAAAATATTATATTGATTATAAATTGGGTAAATTGAAATCCCCTTCAATTATTTAAAATAAATTCCATTTGGAAATTAAATTATAGCTAATTATAACCTGAGTAAATATTATTTTTATAAATTAAAATCAATCCAAGCTAATTATATTAAGAAAAAAATCATTCCCAATTTAGTTAATTTTAGACTTATTGAAGATTGAAAGTTACAAAATTAATAAATTTATATTATAAAATTTTAACTTCATAACATATTAAAACTAATCAATTAAAAACTAAAATTAATTAATTTTGTTAGACTTGAACCTGCTTGATCTAATTGGGAATGCCATAGGGCTCTTTTTACTTCAATTTTCTTAACCAAGCCTATGCATTGCATAGGTCCTAACTAGTATATTTCTAAAAAAATAATGAAATTGTGAGAAAAGATGATCTTGTATAAAGCATTTAAAGCTCAGTTTAGAAGGAATACAAATGCAAATTTGTAGAATGTAAAACCTTGTATTTTGTATGTATTTGCACTCTAGGAAAAAGAAGCCTCAACAGTAAGGCATTTGATACTATTCTAGTTAAACTTGTATTCGCCAATCACATCCCAAGTGCCAATAGAAAGTTGGCTATCAAAACTCAAAAGTATAGCGTCTTCTCAAGAAATTTAGATTAAATCAAATCCTATTATATACAAAACAAATTATTAAAACACGGTTTGATGATCTGGTTAATCAACTAAATGACCTTTCAGCTTTAATTGTCACCACATTCGCACATGTGCAATGAAAACGCGACGAACATGTCGTGAATGACCCAGAGAAGCATGTTGTGCTAGCTCACTTAGCTAGATTCCAAGTTAATTTTCCCACGTAAAACAAAAATTTTTTAATGGTTGAAGCTGTGTTATAGATCTTCTAACAAGTCTGTCTATATTATAAATATATCATAGTATAAATTTTTTTATTCCCTTGAACTTATCCCAAAGTTTGTTTACAGAATTTTGTCCTCAATAAGTTCTCTGTTTCGTTAAATAACCTTTAGATAGCTTCTAGGTTGTATCTAATTAATTAGTTGTAGAATCAAATCAAGTCAAATATTCAGTGGGCTATATATTAATCCTAGTGAAAGTCTACGGGCTGGCTATGTGATATGATGCATGCATGCATGGAAACACATACATACATACATCACACATAATATATATGGATGGATATACAAACATATATAGTACTATTGAGATGGATATATAAGCTGTGATTGTGAAGTGAAACATTCAAAAGCTGCTTCTCTGACATTAATGTTCCATCATTATGGATCAGACGACTGATGTTTGAACCAAGTTCAGTGAAACATCCGTACCCATTACACAGATGGGTGGTATTTCGATTATTGGAGTCCCACAGTACAGAAACCTTAAAGCCCAATTCATACGGTAACTTGGAAAGTAACCACGCACAAAGGGGGTCATTAAATCTGGGCATATGTAGCTTTCAAAGTGGTGTTTTTTTCTGTATATATGTTTGTTGGATCTGTTCATATATATATATATATATGGTCTGTTCTAAGACTCTGAAGGAGGGCAACTGTAAAACAAAAGTTCTCTCTTCATCTTCAAATTGTTTGTTTAGAGAGAGAACATGGAGAGGAGGGCATGGCTAAGGGGTATGTGGGAGATGGTGAAGGAGATGTTTTGCCAAAAGCTACTCACTTGCCATCTTCCTTCTTCTCTTGTTCTACCAAACCATTTATCTGCTCTTACCATCATCGTCACCGGCGCGACGAGCGGTATTGGTCTTGAGACGGCAAGGTATTATCTCTCTCTCTCTATCACTTTAATTAATTGGTTTCTTCACTTATCTTTCCCTTTTCATGATAGTTAATTTACAGCAAATCAATAAGAATTTAAATCTGTTGTTTGAATTTTATCCCAACGCAGAGCAAGAAAACCATCTATATAGGAAATACATATAGGCTTTATGAAGACAATACCCAGAAAGATAACTCTTCAAATTTGTTGTGGAATCAATAGAAGAGTGAAGGAATTGTTTTCTCTCTTAGTAACCTCCAAAACTAAAATCTACCAAAACTGTTAGAACGGATCAAAGAAGGAAAACCAAGAGCAACCAAAGCAAAAAGAGAAAGAATTTAAAGGAGAAAAGCCCAAATATATAATTTGAAGATATATATATGGCGTATATATACGGCAGTATATAAATATCATAGCAAGCTGGGGGTCAGTGCTCTGATCTCTCTCTCCCTACGACAGGGAACTCGCTAAGGCAGGGGCCCACGTTATCATGGCTTGCAGGAACACCAAGGCTGCAAATGATATCGCACGTCAGTGGAGGTTGGAGGTGCACAATAGCAGGTCTCTTAAGGTTGAGGTAACGTGCACCAGGGCTATAAATTTCAGCTTTAATTGGAATTATTTGTATATTTTTGTGTTATTATTGAAGCATGCAAGATGACGATGCATGTTTCTCATCATCACTCAGGTCATGGAGTTGGACCTCCTCTCGCTCGCCTCCGTCCGGCGGTTCGCCGGCGTCTGGGAGCAACGAGCAATGCCCCTGCATGTTCTGATCAACAATGCCGGAGTCTTACTCATGGGAGGTAAGAGTTCAGTCAGTCTTAGAGAAATCAAGTAACAGATGATATATATGACATGGAACGTACTAGGGTTTGTATATATGCTTTGTAAAAGTAATTTTCACAAGGTGTGATTAATTGATTATTTTATCACTGAAATTATCAGAAAATTAAATATTTAAACCTTCAATCCATCCTCTAAAATTATCAGTGTGAGGACCAGAGTTTGGTCATTCTGATGACATAGCATATGGATTTAAAATTAGGTGTAAGATGTTGTTAGGTTCATTGAGATTATTAGTTTTTTTTTTTAATTATTTTATCCATAGATACTTGTAATATTAAATTATTTATTTTGTCCATAGATACTTTAAAAGTTGGTGTAGATTCTATATATACTAGGAGAAAAATTTATTTTACTATATTTGTCCACTTATAGTTGAAATTCTCTTTTTTTATTTTTCCAAATCTAAAACAGTTTTTTTTTTTAAGTAGTATAAGTAAATTATTTTTTGCATATACTAGTAAATATATCTTTTAATTGAGAATTTCTTTTCAGGCACTTTATTTATTTATTTATCTCTATTTTTTTTTACAGAGCCACAACGATTTTCCAATGATGGTCTTGAGCAACACATTCAAGTAAACCATGTCGCACCGGCTCTGTTGACGCTTCTTCTCTTACCATCTCTACTCAGAGCTCAGGCTTCTCGGATTATTAATGTTAATTCTGTGGTAATTAATTAATTTCTTCCTATTTGTCTTTTCTATTTTAATTATTAACAAATAATAAATTATATGATGAAGTATGAAAAAAAAAAATTGAAGGCCAACCCTAGGTTAATTAAAAAGTTAATTAATTAGCTAATTAAATTTGCATTGGCCATGCACCTTTTTGTATTCCTAAGAAAATCCTTTTATATGGTCTCCAAAGGTCAAAGGTTTGCATTACCACTACTTTAATCTGATTTGTGGTTGATCCCATCAACTTTAAATTAAAAGTTTGTCTGAAATACCATGATCAGGTGTCATCTAGGACTTTTGTTTCAGACCCAACTGACCAACCCCTCTTTATTCTTTGACATGTATGTAAAAGGGGGGTTTTAACTGGCAAACTCCTCAAGAGCCTTCATGGGGTCTGGACTCTGGAGGTCAGGGGGCAGGGGCTACCACAAACTGAGCCCATGGGGCTCTCAATTTGCTTTTGGTTTCAGTGTTCACAGCTTCACCAGCTTTGTTGAGATGTTTTGAGAGACCCAAACTGACCAAGAGCCCTCATGGGTCTGGAGGGCAGGGGCTGCCCTAAACTGAGCCCATGAGGCTCTCAATAATTTGCTTTAAGTTTTAGCCTTCATAGCTTCACCAGCTTTGTTTCAGAAAGTGGAAAGGTATTGAAAGGCAGCAGGCTGTAGTAAAGCTGCAATGTGCATGCCAATATATTGGTGGGGATGATGTCAGCTGGGGAATCCCTTTTTTTCTACTAGTTGCCTCCAAGCCCATCATCCATGTTTTTTGTGGGCAAGTAGAAAGAAAGGTTAATGGATTATCATGTGTGCCTTTCATTTTTCAAATGATAATCATTGTTCTTGGGAGTTGGAGTTTTTTTCAAATGATAATCATTTTTCAAATGATGTCAGCTGTAGTAAAACTTTTTCAGTTTTCCATGTTTGTTTCTTTCATCTACAATTACTACTTTTACAGTTTTACTATATATGTTTCATTGACAAGGAAAATGAGGTTGAGGATGTGATGAGTATTAAAAAAAAAAAAGGAAAGATTAGAGTACTGTTTGGTTTTATGATTAATTTCAATCTCTTTTATATGTAGGCTCATCATTGTGCAGTGGTGGAGCCCAAATACTGGAACAGCAAGATTAACGAGTGCAGGTTCAGTGGCATCAAGGCATATGGGGCCAGCAAACTTGCACATGTACACAACCAATATTCTCTTTATTCAGTTAGTTATGAATATTGTTGAATTCCCATGGTTTTTAAAACTGGATTGGATCAGAAAAATCAGGAGCTGGTAAGGTGATTGGTTCCGTTTTACCCTAAAACCGTTATTTCCCCAAGAATCGTTGATGTGGTCAGTAAACTACTGAATTGTTCGGTTTGAACGATCGAACCGTTCGACCCAGGAACTGGACTCCTGACTAGTTTGTTGTCTGATTCAGATTTAAAAATCTTGGAATTCCCCCCTCCCAAAAAAATAAATAAAGAAATAAAGAGATATTAATTAATGTGTTTCTTCATTGATGCAGCTCATGTTTCTAAAGATCTTAGCTAACAAACTTTTAGAACAAAAAATTAGGGCTTCCATTCAATGCATAGCTGTACATCCAGGAATTGTCACTACTAACTTGGTAAGATATTAAACTTGTTTGATTCTATTATATTACAAGATTGAACTAATCTAAAGTTTTATCTAATTTAATCTTCTGATCAGGTTCCTGGTGTCAAGAAGAAATCTTTCTGGATGTTTGACCCTACTGAGGGTAATGAATTGATATCACCAAAGAATTTTAGATGAATATAATCTTTATCTCAAATTTACCACGTCAGCTCAGGTGGATCAAGTTTGAGCCTATCACAATGTAAATTTATTATTTGACAAATTTGTAAATTGTTCTAGGGGCAAGGAGTGTCCTCTTCTGCGCAACAAGCGATGACGTGGCCAGAAACCTGGAAAAGGGTTTTGCATACTACTCATGTAACTGCAAGCCAGGAAGAGTGTCACCCCATGCAGCTGATATGGATTCATGCTTAGATGTCTGGCAGAAGACACTGGACATTTTGCAATTTAATGGTGATTATCTTTCCCATGTCATCAATTAAGCATACGATAGACTCAACTAATTAAAATGTATATTTTCTTTAATTAGCTTAATCACCACCACAATTTAGCTTTTGGTACCCTTTAACTAATTTGATTAATTTAATGCAGTTTAATTAATTTGTAGATATGGTTATTCCTAAAGCTTAATTTGGTTCCAGAGTTTCAAAAGTCTCTCTAATAAAGAAACTACCACTAGAAAGGGATCTTATCTACAAAGCTTTGTAAAAAGAGGTTTCAAAGACAAACTTTTGCAATGTCAAAAAGCAAATTTTATCTCATTCAAACCAGAAATCCACCAACATGATGATTAGAAATCTCATTCCCTTTAAGAGTCAAACAATCAAAATAATTTGGCATTATCAAATCAAATCTTGTTCATCCAATATATTATATCTCTTGATACCCAATCAGCTTTTTCTGACTTTTTTTTTGTTTGCATTCAAGATCATGACCATGATGAAGATTGAAGTATCTCCAATCCATTAAAAATCTTCAATTCTGTAAAGAAAAGCATTCAATATGTATGGCCTTTAGTATATATCCCTTTTTCACTAAAAGAGACAAACAGTACCCAATTCCTTATCCTAGAACTGTTGACCTAAAGTCTGCTTAGATTAATTAATGAAAAGGAAAAAAGAAAAATTAATTAGATCGAGCACACGTGTGGAGTATTACTCTCAACAACCTCTTTGGCCTTGCCCACTCCATCGTTGCCTGCAAGCGTTCTGTACTTGTCCCTACGTGTGAAGTTTGTGCATTGAAACCCAAGAGCTCGTCCAATCATCTGTTGCACCTGATTGGCAATATCATAGCTAGATTTCCCAAGGGACTCACACGTGCGGACTCCAGCAACCTTGTCAAGGAATTGAAGGTGGTAATGGGGATTAGGGTTCATGAGGAAGAAGAAGGAATCCAACCATTTGTAACCTCTTACTGTAGTTCCATGAAACATGGTGGCATTGGCTGATACATCAACTGGCACAATTACATCTGCAATCTCTGCAAACAATGGACTAAACCGGAGAAGATAAGGCTCCCGGCAGGTGGTGCCCTCTGGGCAGACCACCAAGTCACCCTGCATTAGTAGGCCACGCATTGTAGCCCCATCGTCGGCACGGTCACGGCGGAGCCGGACGGTTCTTATCGGCGAAAGCAGCTCGGAGACCCTGCTGACACTGTAAGTGACTGCTGTGACATGCCGTTGCAAGGCCGAGGCTACAATCACTGGATCAATTAGTGTCCGATGAGAACACACGTAGAGTGTGTTACAGGTCTGGTTGTTTGGACGACTCTTAGTACTGTACCCACCAAGGAATGGTGCAGTATGGAAGCCTGGGTCGCATGAATCACAAGTGCAACGGGTGTATGGTGTATGAGTAGTTTCAGACGTCTGATCAGCTCCTACTGGAGGAGGAAGCTTTGCTCTGATCTTCAGGCCGGTGGCTGCTGCGGCCATCAAACCCAACTTGTATGGCAGCAACTTTCCGACTGAAAGTCGGGTAATGGCTAGAATGACTCCCATAGGTACCCACAGTAAAACTGCCAACGCGTTTAATGGTGTAGGCCTTACCACTGCTCGTCCGTCGTGGAAGATTAATGGCTTCGAATAATCTTTTCTCGGCAAGGATGGGGCCTTCTCCTCCACCGGAACAAAATATACTTCCTGCAACTGACAATAACTCAAATGTAGGAGAAAGAGAGAAAACATGGCATCCATCTAGGCAAGGTGAAATAACAAAATCAGGTGATCAACCATAGGAAGTGCTCATCCAATGGTTTTTCTGAAAATCTAGAACTTCTGTATGACATTAGGTCTACTTTCTCAGCCTAAGCCCATCTCATTATATGAATCTCTCAAATTCAAGCCAGCCCAATAATTCATGTTGGGCCACAATCAAATCATTTACTAGTCAAAATCCATATCACGAATTCATTCATATAGAGAATAAATAGCCTAGTCCTAAGCCCATACATATGCAGCTTTTTTTTTTTGTGCCCTCGATGAATTGATATCAATTCCGAACCCGCACCCATCCAAGTGCCCAACTACTTTGAATCTAAAAATTCTGACCCTAGGTTGAACTGTACATATATAGCTTTAAGTCCTTTGGTTTAAGAGAAAATAGGTAGGTAAATACTGATTATATTTCTGGGCCTATAAATCTGGCCCATTTTTTGTTTTTTTCTGTGTGTGTGAAACTGTGAAGGTATATTGCAGGAGACGGGATCTGCTCACAAATGGGCGCCTCATATGCACATTCACTGTGCATTGAGACCATCTCATATAAATAATAATTAATAAATACGGAAGATGTTCCCAATGCATGATAGGATGTGAGTGTAAGGCGCCTCACAGGTGTGAGGAACAGATCCAGTCTCATATTGCAGCTTTAAGTCCTTTGATTTGAGAGAAAATAGGTAGGTAAATATTAGTTCTATTTCTGGGCCTCTAAATCTAGAATGGATCGGTTCCTCAAAATGACCTCACAGGCACATCCCATCAGGAATATCTCCCATACTGATGTGTTTATTCATGGGAGATTCTCCCAATGCATAGTGGGGTGTGCCTGTGAGGTGGGCGTGAGGTGTGCTCCGTAAGGAACAAATCCCATTTCCTCTAAATCTGGCCCATTGAACTAATAAGGTCTTACTCTATCTAGTTTTTCATGCTTTTGCTAGCCCATTTTACAAATGGAACATTGAATACCAAATATATGATAATATCACCAAATAAAATGGCCCTGGAACCTGCTACCCACAAGAACGCTACTCACACCTACCCCACTACACACCACAGCTGCACATCGAGAACATCTCCCCCATGAAAGGTAGGGAGATGTTCTAAGTGTGGGTACGGGTAGAAGATCTGGACTGTCCAAAATGTCCAATTCTCAGACGGTAGCCTTACAGGGTCAACTTCTGCCCCAAGCACTCCCTGAGGGAATCCAGATCTGTTACTCACAGAACACTCATCACACCAACAACACAGCACATTACAGGGGTGAAATGGGATTTGGGAACATCTCCCATGAATGACAACTTTCCATGTGGGGTGCAATAAGTATGGATCTAATAGGCACATAATTGTAAGCACGCTCAATGAGTACTCAATAAATATTTTGACAGCTGTATAAAAAATAATCGACTTTAATAATTTCAAGGGTAGGGTAAGGGTATTTTAAGGGACAGGCGCCTAGTGAAAGCTTACTTAGAGTGCTCACGGTGTGTACTACCTGATCCGGATTGGGCTGCAATGTGATGTGTGGTTAGTGTGAGAAGTGGTCTGTGAAGAGCAAATCCGGTCTCTCCCTGAGGGTTCTTAATGAATCCCAGGTGCACCTACCGTGGTCAGTAGCAGCTGACTAGCAGTCTTGGGTCACAGAAGGTGAGGGGGTCCCATACTCCCATCTTAACCAAAACAGGCAGCGAGTCAGTGACCCATGAATTACTGTGGAATAGTACCTCCAAAGGGTATCAACGTGTAAAAGCTTAAATGTGATGACAATGTAGCTTCAACAGTTCTGGTTAATCTATCATGCACATGAAGGTAATGGTAGTGATCATGTTGATCATCCTTCGAACTTCAAACCCCACACAATCTTCATTGTAACAGATGGAATTGTTCATCCATGGAAGTGGGAGATTCCCAAAATCAAACAGATTCCATGAACATGGTGTGACCGATTGCTCATGCATGCTTCTAATTCCTGACCCAGAATACAAAAAAGAAAATGTGTTTCTGAGACTGATTAGTACCTTACATAACAGGACATATGGATGACTGGTGAGAGCAGTGTCTGCAATTCCAACGTCGATCATGTTACCGTCTCCCAGAGTTGCTCTTATAGCTTCATACTGTTGGACCCTGGCCACGACGGCCGGAGCAGCTACCAGTCCGAGGCAATTTTTGAGAGGGTCCTCAGCTCTGTGCCAAGGACAGCATCAACATCCAAGTACTCCTGGAGGAAAGTCTCCACCATGATTCTAGGAAACGAAGTGACTACGTACTTCTTCCCTCTGCAACTAGAGAATGCTTTGTAGGCATTCTCATGGAGGTCCTCCAGATAAAACCTCGGGAGGACGGCCTTTGCGACGGCCTTCACATCTGTCACCTTAAGACCTAGAAAGGTGGTAAAGATCATAACTCGAAGAGCCATGGTCTCATCAGAGTAAATTTTGTTGAGTAGCCACAGAAGAGGAAAAGTCAAGAGCAGAAAGAGTGCTCTAACAGGCCCACCTGCTTCAAAGGCCACAAGCATGAAGTAAGGGAAAGAGTCCACAGAAATGAGAAGGGCGCCTTCCAATTTTGAGGGAACGCTGTGGTCCTCTCTTCCCTCGGTGCAGAATTTTGAGACTGAAGAGAACATAATGAACAAGGTTTAGTAGTAGGGTAGTGACGGAGTCAAGGAAATAATAAAAAAAAAAAAAAAAAGAAGAAAGGGTGAATGATGAAGAGAGAGCAGTCAGAGTGTGTCCTTAAATAGAGAAGGTGTACCTGAGGGTTTGAGAGAGGGGTGGTTGCCCTGCATGTGGGGGTTTCATGGATTCAACATTAACAATGAATCCCATTTTTTCTCATAAAATGTCAATTTGGCTGAGTGTGGGAAGAGTGCAAATACAAATATGTATAGTACAAAACCTTGAACACAGTACTTCTAAACCTTGTATTTGTACTATGCAAATTTGTATTTGAACTCTTCCCAATTTGCAGTGTAAATTTCGTTTGTATGAGCATAAATGTATGGGAACGAAGTGGCATGGGTTGGGGTTGGGGTTGGGGCAGGGATCAAACTGTTCAAATTTCTACAGTACAAGTATATACAAAATAATATAAAATACAAGGCCTTGCACTCTACATATTTGTATCTGTATTCTTTCCAAACTGAGCCTAAGGGATAAAATTTATTCTCCATCCCCATTTTCAAATTTTATATTTTTAAATTAAGTTATATATATATAATATATATGATATTGTATTTTTAATATAAAAATATTTTATATATAATTGGGGTCGGGGTGGAAGGGGGGACTTCACTTCCCATCCTCGTCCTCATCACCATTTTTCTCTTTAAAATAAAGAAAAAAATAATGTTATCCCCACCTTATATTGCAAAAGAATGGAGGGTAGGAGGGTTATTTGTTTAGGAATGAGAGAGAATTGAGGTGAGTGAAAAGTGGTGCAAATTCCACACAAGTTTTCAAAATGCAAAATTTGCCTTGAGACCTCTTTTTTTATAGTTTTACAACATAAAATATCAACAAAATATGGACTACTTTAATAATTAATAACATTTTTACAAGTCTATTTCTTCGAAATGCCATTCAGACTCCTAACATGCATCGGATTCTGATTCTCATGTCCGTTCCCATCTAAAATTGCCCATTTTTGTAAATCCAACAACCAGCTATGTGAATTTACATCTGCACCCCACAAACGCCCCAGACTATCCCAACCGTGTATTGGGAATATCTCCCACTGGCAACTTTGAGAGATGTTCCCAATGCACACTGAGATGTGCATGTAGGGTATTTGTGGGATGCCCTCTGTGGGGCGCAGATGTGATCTTCTTTCATGCTTTTGTCTTAGGGGCAAATTAGGTTAATTTTCTAAATTTTGGGATAGGAGGTTTTCTCACACATAAAGGAAATGAGTGAAAAAGCACATATAGTGTGTGGTATATGAAAAATACATGATTGGCATAATTTTTCATTTTCTATTCTCATTTTCTTTTTCTTTTGGGCTATGTCTGGTTTGACGGAAAATAATAGAAAGAGAAAGTTGTGAGGAAGTTCTTTTTTTTTATCAAATACAACCTTAAGGTCGGTTTTGTTTCTATGAATCATAGGCCATAATCAACAATATATTAGTGTTCGCATGACATAAGAGCAAGGTTTTTAAAATCGAACCAGACAACAAACCGTTCAAGGGTCCAGTTCTCAGGTCGAACGGTCCGATTGATCGAACTGAATGGACAGCCCGTTCTAACAAAAAATAAATAAAAAATATAAAAAATGGCCAAAAATCATTGTCCAGATTAATAGTTCAAACAGTTCAATTGTCTGGGTTAATGGCTCACTGACCAAATCAACAGTTTTTGGCCAAAAAACGGTTCTGGGGTAAAACGGAATTGGCCAAATGACCATTTCCTGATTTTCCAATCCAATCCGGTTTCGAAAACATTGCTTAAGAGACTATTTGCATGACTAAGGCCAGGCTTCATGGCATCTCGGGCCTGCAAGGTTGCACGCCATAAGGGGGAATATACTTATATACAGAGGGCAGATCATTGGGCCAGTTCGGCACGAGGACCAGCGCCCCTGGACTGGGTTTTTTCATCCCAACTACATCTATAGAAACTCGGGTGGGATTGGGCTCTCAACTAGGCCCAAGGCCTCGCCATATTCTTATCCAATCCTATGGTCCACTTTATTCATCCAATCTTTCAGTAATGTTTTTCACAAGTAAGAGTAGTCGTTTTAATATTAGATTTAATAAGAGTATTTTAGCGTGGAATAAGAATGGTCTATTCTCCTTGCTTATTTGGTTCAGATAGGAGTCAAAATCAGAATCGAAATCAGCTAGAATGGAATTTTCATTCTCAGGGAGGGAGAAGGAATGACTATTATCTTAAATGAAGAAACCTCATTCCACTAAAAATAAGAACCGAGTTCCAATTCCACCCAACTAAATGATTAGTTCCAATTTTGATTCCAGACTCCTATCCTCACATGGCATAGGTATTGGACTCAAATTTAGCCCAAAGAGATGATTGCAAGGAACTATTTTGGGCTCCTATGTCCTAGCCAATCTGCCCCACGTAGGATTCCTTGGTCGTTCAGCGGAGGATCTGATGGTCAATCCAGACAATAGCAAAGGGCAAGGGTATTGGGCTCAAATTTGGCCCATTAATAGACGACAGCAAAGGGGCCATTTTAAGCTCTCATACATCATCGACCGTATGTTTTTTTCCATGTGGAGGATCTAATGAACAATCCAGATTGTAGACTTGTCCATTAGTTAATAGACGAATTAGCCATATATTCAATCCTATACATATGTCCCACCTTTTTTCAATAGAAATAGGAGGAGTTATACAAGACGGGGTAACTTGGCCCCAAGCATCATAAAATCAAATAGAACTTAAATCCCTAGGGATAAAGTAGGGCTGTTCACGGGTTGGGTTGGGTTGGTTTACTGAGGTTTTCTCAACCGACCCGACCTGGTCGGGTTACTTGAACTTGAAACCGAAACCGACCCAGTGTTAAGCAAAATCGACCTGGTCAGTTTGAGTTGGGTTGGGTCGATTCGGGTCGGTTTCGGCTCTAAGTTCAACTATGCTTGACAAAAACTCAATTGCAATATATACGTGGGGACTGTGGCACCACAGTATGTGAGGTAATGAACGCGGGAAAAGCCTTGTTTTTGAAAAACAGGATATAACTCTAGTCCACAGTTTGGACTTTGAAGAGGAGAAGAAGAGCAAAATCCATATATAATAATAATGCCTATTATAGAGGTATATATGTTATATATCTTTTTAGTAATTAAGTTTTATCTCCAAAACCACCAACCTATCCCTTTGATTATATATTCATTTTGAAGTTTAATTGTCTTAATTGGGATTTGGGTGAAWTGTGTAGGGAGACTTCAGGACAATTAATTACAATCATTAATCTAGCCAATGTAATAGATTTGAAGAGGGACAATTAGTTATGGGGGCTTAATTAATTTAAACTTCATAAAGGGACAATTAGTTGGTTTGGTTCGGGTCGGTTTATGATGTTTTACAACCCGAAACCGACCGGTGCTAAAGATAACCCGGCCGACTCAGGTTGGGTCAGTTCAGGTTGGTCGGTTTGGTCGGGTTGGGCCTTCTTATGAACAGCCCTAGGATAAAGAAAGAGCAAAAGCTGAGAGTGTTAAAGAGGGGAAGAAAGAGCTTGGTTTTCCATCAAGTCCGTAGCTTGATTGGCTTTACTGAAAACTGGTTGTAAGTGATTCCACATTTCAAATCTCTTGCCAGTTTCAAACACTCTTCAATGATGGTCTTCAATTTCCACGAGCAGTCCACTTTGTTCTTTAAGCACAATATCATTAAAAGAGAGTCTCCCTCAATGAAAATGAGGAGACCCCTATAATTAAAAGCTATGTTATGGGTCTTTCACGCAGCCCAAGCCTCCGCTACATTAATTGAGGAATTCCTGATAGAATAAGCTTTGGTCTCTAGAACATTCCCCCATTGATTTCTCGCAATGTATACGATTGCACATTCACCTTTATCATTTCTAGATGCATCAAAATTGATTTTGATAGAACCCCTTTTGGTGCTTTCCATTTGATAGGCTTCCATACTTTAATTTGTATAGGGTTGGAGTTAGAAATATTCTCTATATTGTGATTAACATATAGAGATAAAGCTCTATCTATAATGACCGAAGGATGGCAACAACGGTTATGAAAGATCTTTTGTTTCTATTCTTGTTTCTATTCTTCCAAATCTGACACAAGATAATTTTTTCGTTTTTATGTCTCACCTTGTATACTTGTATTTATGTATTTATGTTTATTTTTAATTAATATTAGCCATTTGAAGTTTTAATGAACCCAAAATTTACAAATAAAAAGGGGCTTATTTTGCATACAAGGGGTCATTTAATGACATGTACCTAAAAGTGCAAACATGGATGAAAGGGGCTTATTTTACACACAGGGCCTGTTTTCGAAAGCACAAAGCTCAAAAGCAAAAGCTTATCCAAACAGAGTCAAAAGTGAAACATCACTGCTTTTGGATCAACCCTTTTCCAGGTGAAAGGTCACTGTTTCAACTTCAATCATGGATGAAAAGGCCAGGCTTCTGTAGCAGTTCTTGACCGGCCCTAAATAATAATAATAATAATAGACAAAAAAGATGTCAAGATGATAATAATCGACCTTCCTATACACTGTTCTATCCTCCAATCCGTGAACAAGTTTGTACTTTGTACTGTCTTATATTAACATTTGTTTGACTCGACAAACCAACTTGCACTAAAAGGATGTAAAATCTAACTGTTTGTTGTAGGTTTCACCAGCTTGTTTGTTCTCCTACGACTCAAAAGTTTCAACTACTGACAAGGATTCCTCTTTTTCTTAGTTGAATCATCATCAAACAGTCCC